TGTTCTTATGTTCTTACTTCAGAGTAAGGGAGCTGAGCAGTGCATGCCTTTGAACATAAAGGCATGAGATTGGGCTGTAAGATGAGCAATTGATTTTTATCTGTCATCTTAATTCTGAATACAAAAATGTTTCCTTGCTCAAATATGTTTCACTGAGATACGACATGATAAAGCATGGGAAAATATACATCTGTTGCAGTACTGTGAGATTGCTTTCACAGATAAATATTGACTTTTATATATGGAGTTTAACTGATATTTATTATCTCTGATCAAGATCAGAAAGGTGGCTACACTACTGAGAACATTCCATCAGCAAGTCACAACCAGAAAATCTTTTTGGCTTGGTTCTAACCTGTTCTAGAAACAGATGGGTTATGTGATAACGTGGATGATCTTTTTTTTCTTTTTTTAGAAAAGGCAAATTGTTCAGTACGCTGAACCCTAGCTTTTTAGAAAAATCGGAGAAAAACAGATGTCTACTCAGCATTTTGAACTTTACCACATTTTGAGCAAGTTGATGTATTACTTGCTTAAAGAAATGAGCTTTGGGATTTACCTAGCAACTTTTGGTGGTTTGTCTCTCTATATATAACCAGTAAACCAACGTTTTCCTTAACCCTTCGCTATTTCACTGTTTTTAAGTGAGAACTGTTCAACATAGTTCTTCCCTAGGATACTTATGATGCTAAGTCCTGCACATACCCTTTAGAACAATGATTCCCAAAGTGGGTGGTACCACCTCCCTGGGGGTGGGATTACATAGGGGCTGCAGGAGGGCAGTGGAGGTGGGCACCTTTGACCACATTGTTCACTTTTTTATGATTGACCATGCTGGCAAATAGCACTTCAAGTTTGTGCCCCTGCACAGTGCTGAAATCTGGTGAAACTTATTGGAATTTTTAGTAAATACACCGCCAGAACTCTAGTCAGACCAGTATACTACATTGTGAGAAACTGTTGTCACTGTGTGTGTTTTTCTCTCTTGTCATTTTTCAAGTTTTTGCTAGTAAGTCCTTAGCATAATAGTACCGAGTGTGGTATTTGTTTTCTTGTGTTCTCAGTTACTGAAACGTGTTGATTATGAAGTGTACTTTTTAGCTTTATGTATTTTATTTATTTTCAAAATTTATTTCCCACCTTTCTCTTCTTATGTGCCACCAAGGTGGCTAACAATTCAAAATATACATGGTAAAATCACATTATAAAACTATTATAATTTTAAAAAATGTAAAATATATTTAAAACAAATTGTAAAAAGTTAAAAAACAGAGGTTTTGTCATAGCCTGCCAAATATTAATATCTAGGTTATAAAAGGGTTTTAAACTTCTCAATAACTATTTCCAAAAAGGGGAAAAATGTTTTTTAAGGAAAAAATTAGGGGGGTAGAAGGAAGAATTTTGCTAATTGAGGGGAAATTTAGGTTATAAATAATAAAAAATCCCATAATATAAGGACAAATTGTGGCAATTTTTAATAGCTTATTTATTGGTTTTCAAAGTATAAACAAACATAAATATCTCATATTTTAATACAGTTTGGGTCTGTCTTTCTGTCTTGTTTTCTATCCAGTTATATACCCTCACCCATCTCTTTAGAAAAATATGCTCATCTTTGCCCTGCATTATTACACTCATTTTGTCCATCTCTGCCAAGTTTAACAGTTTGTTAGTCAGCCCTCATGGAACTTTATCAGATTTCCAGTATTTTGCCCATAACATTCTAGCAGATGTTACTATCATTATCATGAAATATGTCACAATGCTTTAAATTTTCTGGGAACATATTCAACAAATAGCACTGTGGTTCCATTTTCAGATTTACATCAGTAATTTCATAGATTATTTTCTGAATTTTACGCCAATATTTTTGAGCTTTAACACCACCACATGTGGTAAAATGTACCAATCATTCTTTTGCATTTCCAACATTTATTGACATTATTGTTATAACATTTTGCTATTTTTTCTGGCGACCAGTGCCATCTATAAAACATCTTAAGTATGTTCTCCTTATATGATATGGCCCTCATAAGTTTAGAAGTTCATAAGTGAATTTACAGTTGCAAGGAACTGAGGTCAATCTTATTAGAGCCAATTCTGTCATTTCTACATTTATTTCAAAGTTAGCTCTAGTCGAACATGATATAGGTCATAATGAGCTATACCAATTTCCAAGCCTGTCTGAACTAGAAGTGAAAAGTGGGATTCAAGATGATCTGCAAGTATTTTGTGCCCATTTGGAGATGCTGCATGAAGATATGTCTGAGCAATTTGAGGATCTTCTTTTGGTGGAAATGCCAAATTGGGTGATAAATCTGTTTTCAGATACTAAGCTGGGATAAGTAGAGGAAGAACAAACCAAGCTATAAAATGACATTGAGCGGAAGCCAAAGTTTAAGAATCGTACTAAGAGTTTTGGTTACAGAGGGAAATTTCTGATTGCTATTTTGCAGTACTGACAGTGGTTAAAGAAGCTCCTTGTTGCATTTCCAACATCATATTTGGTGGGACATGGTTTTAGTGTGGTCATCCAACTTCTCTCCAAGCAAAGTAATCAACTCCAAATTACTAAACATGTTGATTTAAGTGTCCGACACGGAAAGGCTAGAGAGGGATCCCACTTACCAGAGGCCAGGAGGTGCTCTTTGTGAGGAAAGCCCTGAGGCACAGTTAGAAGCAGAAGGGCACTCCAGCAACTCTGAGAAACTTGCTGAGTAAAGGAAAGATGAACCCTAGAGACAGGCTGAGCTGGCAGCCATTAGCAGCAGCTGGGAATAGGTGTGGCAGCAGGTCAGCCAAGCCAGGGTGATTATTAAGGCAAGGCTTAAAAGTAACAGGAAGAAGCTTGTTGGGGGGATGGCAGATTGAGTAACAAGGGCAACTTCTGAGCCATGAGTCAGGAAAAGTGCTATTAATTATTTCCTTGCACTGTTTGACAGACAGACTGAATAAATGTCTTGCTAAACTGGTTGGAGAGTCCTGTGTGTGCTTGGGGGAAGGTACCAATGGATTCTAGACCCTTTTTCCCAGCTGGCTGTGGGCTGCAGCAGTACAGGTCGCCCAGGAGATGCCCAGTTTTACCATACCTGCTAAGTGACTTTAAACCAGACATTGGGAAACTGGTACCACTTCATCAAGCCCATCCATCACATTAAGCATTTTCTTAACATTGAAGTAGTTACTCAATGTAGCATCTAAGATTCTTGCTAAATGACTATCATACTTTGAAAAGCTGGTATCACTTGATCAATTTTGTTGAATAAATTAAACATAATTTTTAAATTGATTTTGAATAAATGTGCATTTAATTGTTAGTGTTTTATTGTTATCATGAGTTGTGCAAATTGATATTCTGAATAATGCTTTCTATATTATGAATAATGCTTTCTATATTATGAATAATGCTTTCTATAGGGTAGGGCAGGGAACACTGGGGATGAATTTATGGAAGCAAGGGGGCAGTGGTCCCCAAAAGTTTGGGAACATTATATGACCAGATTTTGGAGTACATAAAACAGGTGAATAATCTACATAGTCCACACAGCTAGAGTAGTCTTTTTGATGTAAGGGAAATCTCCCAAAACACCTCTGTATCAACCACAGTATTTTATAGCTCTGTGAAGAAACCAGTAAGAGTAAGCAGAATGTTGCAAACATGTTATCCTTCCTCCTTGATAATCCTCCTTTGCCCTTCTTAAGGGCATTTATTTGGCCCATTAGAGATATCTGATATTGCCACCCTCTTTGTACTGAATAATTGTTTATATATATCTTTGTTCTTTTCATGTATATTTGATTGATAATGTTTCTGTAAATGACTTCAGGAGCTGTCCTGGAAAGCAGCCTAGAAACATGGGTAGTAAAACCTAAGAGAACCACTGTGTTCAAAAAAAGTTTGAAAAGCAAGAAAGAGAAGTTAATTTTGCAAAAAATTGTTGCCTTCTATTGCATTGCTTCTGGAAAAGTATAAAAACAAAAAAATAACTGATTTACCAAACATAAAACAAAGAAAACTATACAAGTTGAGATCTTCTATGTCTTGAGGCAAAAGATTACCTGTCTATTTAGAGTTGCTTCCTAGCTTGTAAAGAACACAGCAGAATGAGTAAGGGAGAGGTTGGTATTAAGGGAAGCATCATGATGACTAATTACCCAGTATACTGCTGAGCATCAAGCCCCTGCCCCTGGGGAGAGAAAGAACAAGGAAATTAAGCTATTTTTCTTGCACAGCAGTTTCAAAGCGTAAAATGAAGGAGGTGGTCACGTGTGCAATATTAAAACTGATTCTTTCCAGTTCAAAGCTTCTAATCCTTGAGAGAATGAACCAACACTTTCTTCTGTGTCCTCCTGCAACCTGGAGAATAGCCACTCAACCTGCTTTAATTGCTCACTCAAAAACAGCTTCCTTTTTAAAAAGATGTAATAGTTTGTGGAGGTATGAGTTCTTTAGCAAAAAATATTGCTAGATTTTGTGACTTGAGTAGAACTTCTTGAATGTAAAACCACACTACAGTAAACAACTGAAAAGAAGATTGCAGCAGCAGTTTTGTAACTTAGCCCACAATTACTGGATGAGTACAGTTGTGCTGGTACTATGAAGAGGAGCTGTCAATACGTGGACAGACTTCGCTGTCCTCTCACTCTGTGACTGGGAGATTTAAAGAATACTATATTAAAAAAACTGTGGGATTCAGAAATAGTAACAGGTCTGTGCCCCCCAAGGCACTGCAACAAAGTTGTTCTCCTTCCCCCTCTTCAAAAATATGTGACAACAGAAAATCATGCGGCTGCTTTGGTACTCTTATTGCTATGTAAGGGGATAACGCTCTTGGTTCCTTGGTCATGGCTGTAGGAAAGGAAAGAGCACTATATCTGAACTTTGTTTTTTATAGCTACCTATGGGGGAACCTCATATTCTCTCAACATTCTTGACTGGTATTATGTTATGGCCCAGAAAATGAAATAATTGTATTAAGGCAACCAAAATATACTGGGCAGTAGGACAACTTAGTGGTGTTTTTGATACCATAACTTCTGTACCACATATTGGCAATATGGGTCCTTTAGAAAATAAGAGAGATGAACTTTATACATGTATTTGTGTTAACATTATTTCATTATTTTAATGGAAAATTGTAACTGAAATAGTTGTATTTTCTTTTGCCCCAGATTTGAACAAATTCTAATGGCTCCTGACCCAGTACCAGCTTATGCTCTGAAGCTGTTAGTTGCCCTGACTGAATACAGCCCAGTTGTGACAAGGTAACGTGTTCCTTCACACATTTTGTTTGCTGAATGCAGAGACTTTTTAGTATTTAGGTTCACAAAAAGCCACCTTGAGCTTGAGAGAGGCAGCATACAAATTATTGGGATATTTGGTTAATATAGCAGAGCTTTGCTCAGTCATAGAAGCATGATACTGAGTGCAGTAAAAAAATCTCCCAAGAAGTATATTGCAAAAAACATAAATTTATATTTATTCAGATCGATCCAGTTCACATTCAGGCTGCAGTCAAAAGAAGAGAAAGTAGCCTAATCTAAAGAGTACTTTCCGTATCACAAATGGCCAGCTTGCCTAGCATCGTGTGTGGGAGTATGAGGGCATTGTATCTACAGGAGAGACCTGCAGAGACATGCGTCTCCATGGAAGGCCATATTGAGTGAGTGATAGGACAAAGCGAGAGAGAGAGGAGGGGTCAGAGGGCAGCTCCCAGGTTAAGACCAAGGAAGGCATCCCATTCAAGGAAATAACACTTATACACCCTTAGAGTGATGTAGCACCCCCCCAATGTCCAGGCATGCTGAGTCGCTCACTCCAACACAAATATTTAAAATAAACAAGTAAGAGGCTTCTGCTAGCCTCTTGCTTCCCTACCTAATTGGCTTCCCGGTTCTCAGTCAGTCTGAACTGACAAATACAGTACACATAGGCACCCGAGTCCACCCTTGCATGTAGATCTTCTGTATAATTAGTGTCAATACTGGGCAAGCATATGATATAGTAGGTTTAGGATTCATAATTAATAGTTTGCAAACAGATGAGGCTGTTTGTTTGCTCATCTGTGCACATGATTGTCTTTGTCCTTCCAACATAATGGCAGCAGTAGCAATTTAGATACTGATTATTTCTAGGAACATGGAATTGCTACTATCATTCTTCGCTCTACTCTTCTAACTTAATAATTGGCTCATTGTGGTGATTGTTAGTGTGTGTACTTAGAATAGGTTTGTCCAGCCTATCAAGACAATCTGTTTTGGAGTGTGAAGAATAAAATTGATAGGTGCTGGTAGAACAGTGAAGTCAGAGGTGTGAATAATTGTATTCTTAGAGGAAGACGAGAAGAACAAGCTGATAGCCGAAGGTGTGTTTATATGTAATATAAACATACATACATATAATTACACACAAACAAGGACTGAATTTATAAAACATATAACATGATATAGATATATAGCGTATATAGATATAGTGTGTGTATGTGTGTATATAGGACTGAATTTATAACACACATACTGTACTGACTTGCAGGCTCTGAGTACCAAGTTTCAGAAGTCAAGCAGGGTGCGGTCATTCAGTCCAAGGTCAGGCTTCCAAGAATTAGGCGAGTCGGCGGCTTAACATCTATCGTACACATTGCATCCCTACCTAACAGCCTCTCTTGGCTGGTTTTTATAGCCCCATGTCTAAGTGTCGTGCTTGCAGCTAGCTACTCAGAAGTAATCCTGCAACTACTCATCATTGCAGCTGGCATTGGACCAGGAGGCATGCACTCTGCCTTCTTGCCTGTAGTTCTGTTATCAGCTTCTGTCTGTGGTGCTCTAAGGAAGTAGGAGATACTGGTGGGCTGGGAACGGCTAACTGAGGTTCATCTGCTGAATGCGGGCTGGAGAGTGTTGGTGGCTCTGCACCAGCTGTTGGCTGTGAATCTTGACAAGCCTGCACCTCATTCTCTTGCAGGTCAACTTCTATTAATTCAAGGCTGGCTACATGAGGCTCCTTTTCTCCTGAGGAGTCCCTTCTATTTCTGAGCCTTGGCATATATATAATATAGATATATAGGGTATGTGTGTTATAAATTCAGTCCCTGGGATTAATTTTTGCACTTTGTGATATAAAGTACAGTCATATTGAGGAGTTTCAGTGTATTCATAGCTTTGCATCCCATGCTGTAGAACCTTCTTTATTATCTCATGGAATAATTCTTTATAAGAACACAAGAGTTGACTTGTGTGATCAGATGTGGGTCAGTCTAGTCCACTGTTTTGTTTGCTAGTACTGGTGACCTGAGATGCCATTGAGACAGCATGTAGCAAGAAATTTTATGGTGAGAGGGCATGACTTCAGTGAGGGGGTGGGTTACTAGGTTTGCCAGTTCCCCATCATTCTGAACTCTGAAACCCATAGAGTGGAAGCTGATGCTCTCATGGGTGAGATCCAGTGATACCATAGAGTGGGCCCTGGTGATATCACATTGAGTTGGTATGTTAATAGTAATAATTTCCATGCACCACTAGATATGTGTCATGTGGTTTCATGCAGCTTTAAAGAGAAGGGCTAGTTATCTGAGTAAAAAGACATCAAAATAACATGAAATAACATGAAAATTAAATGTAAAATGTAGTTGAGTTTGCAATGTCAGTTTCTGCCTCCCATCTCAAGTTTATCACAAGCAGGGATAGAAGTCTTAGAAGAAGCCATATATCTACAGTATAGCACATTATCAGGTATCCAGAGAAAAGATTTGATAATGATCATACTTTGAATTCTTTATTGATCTAATTAATGTATTTATGTTCTCTCAAATGATGCTGCAGGATAAAAGAATTTGGGGTAGGATTCAAAACTGTTTGGAAGGCTGGGGGATGGAAAAGAGAATTTAAACAGCATCTTAGTTAACAAATGGGAGGTTTCTAAGTTACACCTCCTTGCAGATATCTTGCTACAACCTAGAAATTATCCTCTTGTACTAGGTATATAGATGTATATGATTACTGTGGAGTGATAGAAAAGCAACACTGAACATGTGCAGTGTTTGCTGTGTCTGCATTTCAAGAACTAATTATTCTTATGTACATCTATATAGATCTTTCCGTGGGCTTTATTCTTCTGCAGTGAAATGCTCTGAAGTTTAAACTTGCCTGAACAATATGCCTCTTCAGTTGTTTGGCCCTAATTGCAGATGTTGGGTAGTGGTGGGGAACAAGTGCTTGATGGGGTTCTTCATTGGTCAGTAAAGGCGTTCTGCTCAATGACATACCTTCCTTTACACAAGCAAAGGTGGTTTACAATTAATGGTTGAAACCAAACAGTAGGCTAAAAGGAAACTGGGCATTTATTCTGCTCCCCATCCCATAGCCTCCCCTACTCCTGAGGTAAATTTCCTACTGCAAACAGAGGGAGACCACCAGACAGTAGTATAAATGTCACTCCAGTTTTCTACCCAATAAATAATTTAGTACTATGCACACCGAAGAAGACAAGGACAAAAAAGTAGTAAAGGAGCCAGGGAAAAATATGATGGGACAGAGCAGATGAAAATGTTTGGCTATTAAGGGCTTCGTTAGCTCAGCTTCATCCGTCTTGCAAGTGCCATTCCACCGTTTTCAGGCAATCAAGACAAAAGCTGCTTGTATATTTTCCCTCATATCTCTGTAAAGAAAAGAACTAGAGGCTTACTTGGTATAAATGAAAGCTGAAAATTCCAAGGTGGGGCATGACAGGGGAGTGTTCCCTCCAAATGATCCCATAGCTACAGACCTGTGCTGAGAACCTCACAAGCATGCCAGGGATGGCCTTCATCTCTAGCATAAATCATTGAAGGTTCCATTTAGCTATCATAAATTTGCTTAATCCTGTTTCTGCACTATCTAAAATGATACAGATTATCACATCTTCTGGTGATAAATATGAGTCATTTGTGCATTGTGTAAAGAAGTACGGCACATTGTTCTGTCTCCGCCACTCCTGTGACCAAACATAAGAGCAATCAACAACAAACAGTACAGCACACAGCAAAAAATAGCAAGGGACAACAAGACACAACTGTGAGCTGAATTACCTGCAAAAGTAAATCCAAAAGGAGACTTCAACAAAGTGAAATGCACATGTAATCAGAAATGAATCTATACATATAATCCATAATTGGAAAATACAGAAGTTCACAGGATCCATAGAAGGAAAAAAAACAAAGTCCAGAGTAGATACTCAACACTTTTCCTATGTAGTATGCAGTGTTTCAGAATTCTGGTCCTTCCTCAGGAACAAAGAAGTAGAGAAGTATAAAATACAATAATGCTTTTTTAACAATATTACTTATTAACCATATTCCACAAAATTGATCCCAACAATACAAAAGAATCATATTAAATACATATTATTATCACTGTTGAACAGAGTCTCATTGAATCTTACCAACATTAGGAAGTCTCATTCCAATTTCTTTACAGGACAATACTATTCGGTTTCTCTGTAAAAGAGAATAGCTCCTTAGAATTAAGGATATTTTAAAAAGCACAATATATGGACCACAAAACCACCAATATATACTCACTCATGGGCCAGGTCTCCTAAGCTTTAATATGCACCTCTCAAGGTTGCTTCTATGTAAACAGGACCAAACATGCCTCAGAGTATCCAGCCTACTACCGGTAGGACTGCTTTATCAATCTACGGCCCCGTTCACACGGGAGGAATTGCCATGGAAAATACACGGAAGCGGGGCGCATCAAACCGACACGATCATACCGCAACATCTGGGGAACGTCCCGCTTCCGTCTCCAAGCCGTGCCATCGGGCCGAAGAAGCGCATCAAAAAAGTCCCAGCAAAAGGGTACTAGCAACTGGAAGCTGCGCCTCACCGGCGAGCGTGTGATCGCGGAGGCAGGGATGAGACGCTGCATCCGGCACGCGCATGCGTCCTGGCATGCCGGAAACGGCCGGGGCATTCAGTTCGCCACGCCGCCATGGGAGGGGAAGAACTGGAAGAGGGAGCATGCGTGCGCAACAAGCGTATGAGCTATGGTGCGCAAGTAGCGTTGCGGTGAGCGTACGCAATTAGCGTATAGCCGCGCATGCGCGATATTGCGAAAGCGAAACTCAGCGCGCGCGCTGCGGAAAGCCATCGAAAAAAAGACTCAGCAGAGAAGTCCC